CTCTCTGTCTCTCTCTTTCTCTGTGTCTCTCTGTCTGTCTCTCTACCTCCCTCCCTCCCTTCCATTCTCTCTAAAAATCAATGGAAAAAATATCCTCGGGTGAGAATTAACAACAAAAAAATAATGCAAGAGATGCAAAATCCACACTCATGTGGCTGTGTCAGACTAGGCCCTCCTCACCCAATGCTGTATGATGTCTCCTGAGGAAGATAATTCCATGGGAATTTAAGGCAAAAAATTGCCTCTTAGGATTACAGAGCTATTAATACATAAATGACATAAGAGAGTCACTTAAAGTAATTAAAGCAGGAGCCTAGCAGGACTACTACTTGGAAATGTTTTGTTAAAAGGGAAAGTAATTGTAGGTGCTCAAAAGCATTAAAATTTTATGTCGTGTAAAGATACTCTAGGCTTTGTCTTGATATTCCTGATTAATGGGGAAATCACCAACATATTACTCTATTTCAATTCCTAGCATCAAGGATTTATCAATGCTGGGTGGGAGCTTAAAGACGGATCACTCAGTTCAAACCCATCATTTCAGCAAAGAAAACAAAGGCCCAAAGAGTTTAATTGAGTTGGCAAAGTAAAAGTAACTAGTTCAGGACAGAACAGAACTTGAACCCAGAGCTTCTAACTCCAAGGCCAATTCTATTAGTTTTCTGGGGAATTTTATATTTGAACTAGAGGCCCGGTGCACAAAATTTGTGCATGGGGGGGGGGCCCCTCAGCCCGGCCTGCACCCTCTCGCAATCTGGGACTCCTCAGGGGATGTCCGACTGCCAGTTTAGGCCCAACACCGCAATCTGGGACTGCTGGCACCTAACCACTTGCCTGCCTGCCTGACTGATCACCCCTAACCATTCACCTGCCTGCCTGCCTGATCACCCCTAACTGCCTCTGCCTCGGCCCCCGCTACCACAGCTTCGTCCAGAAGGATGTCCAGAATGACATCCGGAAGGTCGTTCAGCTGTCTGGTCTAATTAGCAATTACGCTTTTATTATTATAGATAACCCTGACATTTACAGTCAAGTTGCTTCGTGCTGCTTGCTAGTATTCAGAAAAAGGGATTGAATTGCTAATCTTTTTTTTTTCTTTAACACAGAAAGTCCCTTTACAGAATCCTCCTATTAAGTGGGCTGAAGGACATAAGGGAGTATTTAATATTGAAGTGCAAGCTGTTTCCTCCGTTCACACCCAGGTAAGGAACACTGAGGTCCGCTTCACCTCAGCCAGGAGGCCAATAGTGACGATGGGGGCGCAGCAGAGAACCTTCTAAGGACAGCCCAGTAACCGACCAATGAAAATCATTGTGCACAAATAAAACAAAAAATAACCTTTAGTTCTTTATGGGGACTTTTCAAGCCTGTTCAGGTTTAATTTTCATTTGAATAGAAAGACCTTATCAAAAGGTTGAGCACCTAAATGAAGGAACCCAGCCCCTGCACAGTTGGCTGAGAAATTATGTGGAGAGACTCCATTTGAAGTCTCTATCTCATTCCCCTCTGGGATTCTGCCACTTCACCAGCCTTTCTCCCACTTCTCCATTCCCTCCTTTTCGTGCCACTGTTAGAGTTTTGCACCCGTGTAGACCCATTTTGGGCTGTGTATGCTCACCTGGTGTGCTTGCTTCTGCTTACGGAATATGTCAGAGTCCAAATTATTTTCTTCTTCAGTTAATAGTTAATGGAGAGGGTCTATTTTGTGCACACCCCTCTACAAAGCGGTTCATAACCTTGGTCTGAAACATCCATGTCTTAGAACTTGTGGTCTAAGACCTGGGATAAAGGGCTCTGCCTATGAGGAGCCATTGATTGTGTTTATGAATTCACGGGTGAGCCTGGATGGGATAAGACCCTGAGGCCTGCTGTCTGCCTTCCCAGGACAACCACCTGGAGAAGTTCTTCACTCTCTGCCACTCCTTGGAGAGCCAGGTGACCTTCCCCATCCGCGTGCTGGACCAGAAGATCAGTGAGACGACGCTGGAGCATGAGCTGAAGCTCAGCATCATCTGGCTCAACTCCTCCCGCCTGGAGCCCCTCGTGCTCTTCCTGCACCTGGTGCTGGACAAGCTCTTCCAGCTGTCCGTGCAGCCCATGGTCATCGCCGGCCAGACAGGTAGGAGGCTAGGAGGAGGCGGGAAGAGGCAGGCAGTGCCTTGTGTTATAATTAGATATAATCAATACTCTTTAGGCTATATTTAGGCTATATATTTAAGCTATCTATATTAAAATTAGGAGCTATATATTTAAGCTATCTATATTAAAATTGTGTTAGGAGACATGATTTTCCAGAAATCCTGGGAGCAGGGAAAGTGTGATCTTCTTTTCTGTTGATGATGTGAGTCCAAGACAGGCGAGGTCCAGTGCTATTTCTTACTCTCCCTGGATGTTAAAAAAGAAATTAAGATTGGATGCTTAAAATCATCGTTTTTAAAATAAATTTTTAAAACTATTCGAAGCAGTCTTTCAAATTCCATTCCTTATAGTGGATAGAATTCTTGTACTTCTAAGATATTTTTGTTTTCTTGACCAACAGGGAAATAAAATATCTCAAAAGAATAAGACAATTCATATTAAGTAGAAGGAAAGGAATTCTAAATTGAAATGCAATGTGATCATGTTTTATATTGATCCCCTTAGCCCCTGGCAACCACTCATCTATTGGCTGACTGATAGTGTATTTTAAATGTTTGCTTTTAACAAGTGAACATTAAATACAATGTGTAAAACTTCCGTTGGAAGTAATGTCATGTAAGACGTGGGTCCCGTGGTTCTCCTGACTCCTGCTGGGGCAGATTGGCTGGTGTAGGGCATTTTTGTCTGACACTGTTTTTGGCTGGGCTTATGTTATCCCATGCTAGCGAGTCCAGCCGATGTCTTTTAGGCATCATCAGTGTTCCCAGTACTGTGCTAGCAGTTGTAGGCTTCGCAATAATCGAGAGCATAGCTGACCTGAGAGGACTTACAATAAATACAGTAAAGAGCAGCAGCATAGGACAAGAATTCTCGAAAGGACACGGTTAAAAATACTGGGGGGAGAGGAGGCGCTAGAACATCCCATCTGGGAGGATGTTGGAGGCTCTAGGAAGAAGGTGTTTGCGATGACCTTGAGGGAGGTGTAGAGAGAAAGCAGCCCAAATGGAGACAGTGAGAGAGAGTGGCAAAAGCAGAGACTCAGAAAAGCACAGGAGTGCGAGGAAAGAAGGAAATAGCACAGTTGGGCTATGGAATCTGAGTAAATTGATTGGGGGGAGCGGGGTACTTGCTGAACTCGTAGACCAGGGAAGAGCATGTCTTCTTAACCCCTTGTTTGCACTGTATCCTGGGGTGTGTCTTTTGTGGTTCCACAGATAAGACATCCTGTGTTGTAGGCTACATTTCAGACGTGCAGCTGACACCTCTCCAGCGAGATTCCTGCAGAGCAGTGACCTCTCTCCTCCCTGGATTTCTTTCTGTGCCCCCACCTATGTGGCACACTCTTTGCATGTTTCAGCTATTTAATATAGACTTGTGTGTTAGACAAAAATATTCATTCACACGTCTTCTCCTTAGCAAGTTGCTGCCTTGTCATGGGGACAGCAGGGTGTTGGGACAGGCAGAATAAGTAGAGGTGTTTAGACAACAAGCCTTTATTCAGACCTGTTGTTGTCAGACACAATGAAAGGCACTTGAGAGACAAGAAAGTATGAGAAATGCACTTTGCCCTGGAAGGGCTTCTAGCCTGCTCAGAAAGACAGGACTTACCACCAGAAATAGCCAAGTAAGGTGGAGCCGAACTGTGGAGGCTGGAGCTCCAGAACAAGACAGTGGATGTGCTAAATTAATCCTTTGTAAAGTTCCATTGTAGGGAATCACCTCAATACACACATTTTTAGAGCAATCTGTACACCAAGATGCAACAGTGCCTCTCAGACCACAGGGTGCATGAGAATCCCAGGGCATCCTGTGAAAATGCAGATTCTGACTTAGCGAGTCTGTGGCAGGGCCTGAGATTCTGCATTTCTAGCAGGCTCCTGGGTGACGCTGACCATGTCAGTGCAGACACCGCTGGGTAGCCCCAGTTCACATCATGGTTTAGAAAGGGAGGTTGTCTGGATAGTCTCATGGCTTTGTCATGAAAAAGCGCAGTGCTGGTGGGAGGGCGAGAATGAGGGAGGAAGCGTGACGCCGTTGGCAGCATGCAGAGCCAGCAGGCCATCATCCTGACCGCCTAGCTCTCTAGGCTGGTGGTCAGGCTCCCTGTCACTGCCCTGGAGAACACTTTACTTTGGGTTCATTAAGGACCGACTGTGAGGCTTCCCATTTTTATCTTGGTTCTTCAGCCAACTTCTCCCAGTTTGCCTTTGAGTCCGTGGTGGCCATCGCCAACAGTCTGCACAACAGCAAGGACCTGAGCAAAGACCAGCACGGGAGGAACTGCCTGCTGGCCTCCTACGTGCACTATGTCTTCCGCCTGCCCGAGCTGCAGAAGGACCTGCCCAAGTCAGGTAGCATGGCCTCGAGGGTGGAGTCTGGCGGCCGGGGACCCTCACCCCCACCCCACTGCCACGTCATTCAAATAAAATAAAAAGTGTGACCATTACATTTTATTTTTCAGAATGACACAAATATGACATGAATACTAAAATTAAGAGTTTATCTCTAGATTTTCCTCTTGCTTTCTTCCTGCCTCCATCCTTCTTTATATACTCTAAGCACTTACTTTCTCTGCCTGTTTGATAATCCCTCACTGGTCTTTACCCAGGGGGTAACTTTGGATTCAGTTAGGATCTCTTTTGTAAAATATGGAGAAATGACAACAGATGCCTAGGAGTCTAGGAAATTAATGATAAGGAGAATAATATATATTTGATAGTCGTGATAAGCAGTGTTTCCTAGATTTGTCATTATGAAAAATTAAATCCCTTTTCTCATTTCTCTCTAGCCTTTTGAAATAATAATATTTCATTTCTCCATTCTTTATTATTTACATAGGATAGGTAATACTCAAACAGACCTACTGGTCAGCATGATAACCAACAAGTTCACAGAGTCCTAGGCCCCAGCAAAGAAACTGGGCCTTCTCATTAGTCCACCCAGCCTTATTTCAAGTAAACCTGCCATTTCAATTGAGTTTTTTAAATACTGGTCTATGTCATAGACCAGTGATGGCGAACCTTTTGAGCTCGGCATGCCAGCATTTTGAAAAACCCTAACTTAACTCTGGTGCCGTGTCACATATAGAAATTTTTTTGATATTTGCAACCATAGTAAAACAAAGACTTACATTTTTGATATTTATTTTATATATTTAAATGCCATTTAACAAAGAAAAATCAACCAAAAAAATGAGTTCGCATGTCAGAGGTGTCATAGGTTCTCCATCACTGTCATAGACTCACATAATCACTTTTGAAGACAAGCAAATACTGACAGGTGAAAAACATCGAAATATAGTATACACTTATCCTCCTAAGGTTCAGATGATTCCTGGGATCCTGAAATCTCGGAAAACTTTACTTGCAAAGTTGTCATCGTTTAAATATTAATAAACAAATACATACATCCACGTTTCCAGCTTATATTGAGAAATCAGAAGCTCCATCAACCCGGAGGGCAGGCTCTCCATGGCAATAACAGGCTGGAGCTGAGTAGCAGCCCCTGCCTTGGGATGAGGCCCGTGTTTCCGGTCTACCACAGTTCTCACCACTCCCTACTGCCTTACATCCTATCTACTTACCCCCAAATCATTGTCTTCCCGAAGGCATTTGATAATAAGACCCTAATTCTAAGGCCCAATCTAGAAGGTTTTCATTCCACTATCTACCCCATCCCTCTTCAGTTCCTTCTCAAGTCCAGGAAGTGACTCTGACCCACTTTCTATTGACATGTCTCTACCTGATGGGTTGCAGGCGGCCCCACTGCTCTCCCGGACCCT